CCCAACAGATTAAAAGCCTTTGCTTTATGATATGACTTTATGAAACTAACTTTCTGATAAAAACTCTATTATACTAAACTTTATGCTAAAAGACAGTTCTTTGAATCTAGTGTCAGTGACGGTCAATAAAATCATCCCTTTACTAATCCTTTGGAATATAATCAAAAAAATAAATTTATATTAAATTATATTAATATTATTTATATTAAATATTAAATAGACTATATTATTTGTATTTAATATGTTCAAAACGACGTCAGGTAAAATAAAATAGACAGATGTGCACGAAATGCAGCAGTTTCGTCCTGCGTGAATATCGAATATAAACATTTTTTAAAATAATAATTGTAATAATAATAATAAGCTTCGAATATCAAAATTTAACAAAGAAACTGTTGTTACATCGCACGCCTATTTTTATCACGAGAACAAGCTCGATTTTTGTACACAGACTTAATTTTTTTATTGATTTAGTATTAATAAATAAAGTAGTATAGAACAAAATTATAAGACATTTTTAAATATGGAAGAAAGACAAAAAATATTCAAAGAACAAAGTTCAATTAGGCATAGTCGATGTGTTATAGGCAGCTCGTGTGTTACACCCAGCGGCAGCTGATCAGAAGCTCCCACCAGAAAATGATGAAACGTCCAGCGTAGCCTCGAAGTTGGTAAGAGAAGAATCGGATGAGATGGAGAAAAAGAACAACGGTTCTTGAGGAAGATCCCTGTGTCCCGTCAGCCTTACATCAACGTGAACAATATATCTATTAATATTTCTGTAACTTAGTTACTTGTTTGTAATATTGGAATACTCGTAATGTGTATGTATATATCAAAATATGGTGAGAAAATGCAATGCAAATATTCTTTATTTGCAACTTAATTGCAATGCCTCCAGATATATTTAACAATATAACAATAATAAGATTGTGCCTCAAACTGTAACGTTCGTCATTTCACAAATAAACAAATAATAATTATGGCAGAATAAAAACTGGTATTTTATATATTTAAATATCGCCTGAATTTAAAGTTTTTGTCGTTTTTCAAATGTTTTCAAAACGCAACAATAGAGTGTATTGGAATAACCGTGCAGAAAAGGTGGCATAAACAAGAAAATAATCCGATAATTGACATAATTTACAGCTACTTTTTTACATTATATTCGTATCACGTTACAGTTTATTTCAGTCACTTATTAATTTTATTTACATTAAAATCAAGAAACTTTTTCAATTATAATTAAAAATTACATACGAATTTGTAAAAATATTAACTTTAAGGACACCCCTCTTATAATTTGATAAATCTTAAAATGAAGAAAATTAAAATAAATAAAAAAAATAATTTTTTGACTCAGTAAGTTTACACGTGTTTATCAAACACGTGGTGTAAAGACAAATTAACAGGTGTGCACAGGAATGTTGCAACATCGAAATCGGTAACTGTTTAATTTAATAACAAATTAGATGTGAATACGTAGCTTAATTTTAATCGAACTATTAGGAACATTCTGATTTATATTTTTTCAATTTATTTAAGTTCTTATTTTAAAAAGTTGTTAATTAACTTCAATTTAAATTCTATTTCTATAAACGTTAATATTTCAAGTAAACCAACATTTAAAAGGAAACTTGGTCAAAATTCGTCATTTTTTCCAATCTAGATTATTTGTAAGAAAAACATTTAGTTTTTCTGTTTTTTTTTTTTTTTTTTTTTTTTTTTTTTTTTTTTTTTTTTTTTTTTTTTTTTTTTTTTTTTTTTTTTTTTTTTTTTTTTTTTTTTTTTTTTTTTTTTTTTTTTTTTTTTTTTTTTTTTTTTTTTTTTTTTTTTTTTTTTTTTTTTTTTTTTTTTTTTTTTTTTTTTTTTTTTTTTTTTTTTTTTTTTTTTTTTTTTTTTTTTTTTTTTTTTTTTTTTTTTTTTTTTTTTTTTTTTTTTTTTTTTTTTTTTTTTTTTTTTTTTTTTTTTTTTTTTTTTTTTTTTTTTTTTTTTTTTTTTTTTTTTTTTTTTTTTTTTTTTTTTTTTTTTTTTTTTTTTTTTTTTTTTTTTTTTTTTTTTTTTTTTTTTTTTTTTTTTTTTTTTTTTTTTTTTTTTTTTTTTTTTTTTTTTTTTTTTTTTTTTTTTTTTTTTTTTTTTTTTTTTTTTTTTTTTTTTTTTTTTTTTTTTTTTTTTTTTTTTTTTTTTTTTTTTTTTTTTTTTTTTTTTTTTTTTTTTTTTTTTTTTTTTTTTTTTTTTTTTTTTTTTTTTTTTTTTTTTTTTTTTTTTTTTTTTTTTTTTTTTTTTTTTTTTTTTTTTTTTTTTTTTTTTTTTTTTTTTTTTTTTTTTTTTTTTTTTTTTTTTTTTTTTTTTTTTTTTTTTTTTTTTTTTTTTTTTTTTTTTTTTTTTTTTTTTTTTTTTTTTTTTTTTTTTTTTTTTTTTTTTTTTTTTTTTTTTTTTTTTTTTTTTTTTTTTTTTTTTTTTTTTTTTTTTTTTTTTTTTTTTTTTTTTTTTTTTTTTTTTTTTTTTTTTTTTTTTTTTTTTTTTTTTTTTTTTTTTTTTTTTTTTTTTTTTTTTTTTTTTTTTTTTTTTTTTTTTTTTTTTTTTTTTTTTTTTTTTTTTTTTTTTTTTTTTTTTTTTTTTTTTTTTTTTTTTTTTTTTTTTTTTTTTTTTTTTTTTTTTTTTTTTTTTTTTTTTTTTTTTTTTTTTTTTTTTTTTTTTTTTTTTTTTTTTTTTTTTTTTTTTTTNGCCCGTCGCGAGTAGTGAGCTGGTTTTATTCTCGAGCTCTGAAAAAGCTTCGATGTCAATATAGTCTTACTTCTATAAATTAAAACTTTTAATCTCCAACAAACTTATTACTTATTACTAACAAAAAAAGAAAATTTTAAGACTGCTTTTCATTAATAAACAAAAATTTTTGTCATCTCTTTCGTTTAAAAAATATCTAAAGGGTCTGGTCAGGCGAAAGTCCTCGTACAAGCTCTTGACGTCCCTACATGTAAGTACTAAAAGCATATAACTTTCATGTGATAATTAATACTAAGCTGTCCTAGCTTTAGTTATTGAACAACAGTAGGAATTTTTTTCTCAACGTTGCATTAAACATTCGTTTAACATATTAATCTAAAATGAATATTTGGTTAGAAAATTTTCTCATAAATTAACGATTGTCTTATCTTATTGTTTTTATCAAGCATTTAAAAATAAGAATAACAATTAATTGTCTAGTTAATTAAGTAAAACACTTTTTCAAGTAGAGAAATTGTAGAGCTATAAATTCCCACTCTCGTTGGCCCGTCTGATTGTCTTTCCTTAATCTCAACAACGGAGTTAGATAGTTGAAAGACGAGGCAGACTCTTCTTTCATCTCTCGTACATAAGATAATCGAATTTAAATTTATTTAATTGTTTTTGTAATTTCATTAGTTTTGGTTTTATAAATTTGTCTGCTTTTAAATATTTTATAAAATTTTAATTGTAATCGAGTTAAGATTATTTATACTAATGGACTACCAAGTTTTACACGAACAAATAATACAGTAACTTTAATCAAATATACATTTTAGTCATAATGAAAAATAAAATAAAGATCACTTTACGTTTTATTTTGTTTTATTTTATTTGTTTTGCTAGTAACTATAAATCATGGAAATTTAACAATCGTTTATTTAAGCAAAAATTTCTATTTTTATAAACAACGTTCTCTTTGTGTTTTGCAATACTGAAATTAACTTCTTTTAATCTATTTCCACTTTTTGGAAACTTATCTCGTAGTTTTGAAATTTTTTCTTCATTTTACTAAGATTCGTTCTCTGAATTTAATATAAAAAAAAAACATTTGAAAATGTAATAAAGAAACTCTTTTTATTAACATAAATGCATTAAAAAGTAATACAAATAAATTGTCTTCAGCTTTTACTATGTTCTTGGTAAATAAAAGTGTTAGGAACTCGTGGGAAGTCCATAAAAACCGATACGAATTACGACTAAAAATATTTCTATACACTTTCATTTTTGGTACTAAAAATTCAAAAATAAATGAAAATGTTTCTTTAAAACTTTTTAAAATTTTTTATTTTCTACATTTTTATTTTATGTCTGTAGCCCTGACTTATAAAAATTCTTTTTTTGATAGTACACAATCAGTACAATCAAAAAGGGAAAACTAGTTATTTTACTTTTTGTGCCATGTATTATCAGATTTTTACAAATTTTAAGTTTTCGCTATTGTATATATACAGTATGTATATATACAAATACATACGGGTGCAAAATTTAAGGTAGATCGGAAATTGGGAAATGAATGAAAATTGAAAGACAGACGAAAGAACAGACAGAGTAATTTAATAAAAATCTTACAAAAATGTTTATTTCTTTTTCTTAATAAGTTGTACTTGATTTCTGCAATCTTCACTTAAATAGAGATAAAGTGTGTAACATATTGGATGTAGTACTTTTAATTTTTTTCATTGATATTAAATATTAATAACATATTAATTTAAGAGATAATTATAATCTATTTTATAAAATTTTGTATAGTTGTAAGCATATAAAAGAATAAATTGTAAGCAGAGTTTAAAATCTGCTACTCATTAGAGCCCCTCTCCTATTAACGCCACATCTGCGCTTGTCAAGAATTCGGAGAACTCAGAGGTCACAAAGGGGGAGGAATGGGGATAGAGCAGGAAACGTCTTCACCTTTCTCCGTGGACGTGTGGGGAACGGACGTAACATTTATCTGTGCTTGTAATTACCTTTCTTTTTAGTTCAATCATTGTATTCTTAACTTTTGGGATGTTACATAAATATTCCGAATCCTAACACAATAAAAATTACAAATTATTTCTCGTAACGTTTTTGGGAGGATCAAGTTATCCTCATCGATAAATATTTAATTAAAACTTTTAAAGTAGAAATAATAGTTTGAAATGACGAATAAATGAATCGCCCCAGTGGAAACTATTACACATTGGTTAAATGAGAATGTCTCACAGCGTGTGACGTAACAAAATAGATATAATAAATCCACAAAATAGATGAAGCTGCATTCTCACCTACACATCTGTTTGATAAATTACGCATAAATATGAAATATTCTGCTGTTTGTTTTCTCTTTTCGTGCTCGAGTTTAATAATTTGTTCCACGTCATCGTTTATCGAGTCGAGGCTGATCGAGGTTGATCAGGACGCAAACAGAAATGTGGTAAATTTAAAATTTACACGTTTTATAATCTTTTAATATATACTGTATATACATATTTGTTAAGTTTAAGTTTATTTTTATATTTGATATAGACCGAAATAATAATCAGCAGAGGCTATCCAGTGGAAGAATATACGGTCCAAACGAAGGATGGCTACCTTTTGAAACTATTTAGAATTCCATATGGCCGAAAAAGTCAAGTACAAAACACCAAAAATCGTCCAGTAGTGTTCCTGCAACACGGCGTCCTGGAATCTGCCACCGACTGGGTGATCAACTTCCCTAACCAGAGCCTTGGTAAGTCATGTTTTTTGAGGATTGATCTGTTTCAAAGACTAAAACGTTTAAATTAGAAATGTATGGCTTAAAATTTAAAAACCGTTTACATATAAATTTATTGTTAATTATAACACTATAATGGTATTTGAGGCGAAACGTTAGGAAAGCCTGTTCTATGTGGCCTACAGAATTGTGTTTTTTTTAAAATTCTGTTCGATCGATTTTGATTAAATTCTGTCATTTTCCATTAATTGAAGCGAGGTATCCAAAAATGCAACTTAAGCTTCTCGTACATTATAAAAAATTTTACAACTCAATTGGTCCAGATTACATTTCATACAAAACTTTATTGTATTATGAAAACACCTCTTATTGTATTATGAAAACTTGTATTAGAAAAACTCATTTTTCTAACACAAAAATATTAATTTTTTTTTACCAAGTTTAATTTTGTAGGGTGTATCGGACATGAGAAAAATCTGCAAGAAGGCAATAACTTTTGGTTTCACAAACAACTTTTTATTATTAGATAGAGTTATTATTCAGAAATTTATAAAAGTATAAATTACAGATCGTAAAACTAAGTTATCACATGATAAGAAAGTTGTATAAATGAGAAAAAATTTAAATATTATCAATCTGCAAATTTAACAATTCCTTTTAATGACAAATGCATTTTGTGTTTATTTTTTTGGTGATGCAAACATGTCATTCATAAAAATATTTGTTTCCTTCAAGATCAGCGCAACTTTCGTGAGCCCAACCTATACAAATCGTACACTGAATCCAGTCTTTTTGAAAGCTTTCACCACAGATGATGCAGTGAGTCTCTTGGTCTTTTCTCTTTTCTTGAACTGATTTAGGCCTATCTACTGTTGCTTTCTTTGTTTCACTTTATGTTCCCCAGCAGCTTTCTCTTAGCTGCATAGAGTCTTTCTTTTCCTTCTTTTAGTTATTCTGCCGTAGTTTACCCATATTGTCTCGTAAAACAAAAACATTTCATGAGAATATAATTCTTATCAATTTTAAACTGTTTCCGATACAACCCGAAACATCATAGAACAAACCGTCGGTTACAACATACGTATTAGTAAGCTTAAGGCGATTTCCGGCTTACAAGTTCAAGAACAATAAATGTTGTTTTCAACAATAAACAAAAACAACTTATTCTCATTTTCAGACAAGCTATGACAACCAGAAGTCATCTTCGTTCACTCAAAATATTATAAACACTACCAAATTTTCTGCCACATGTCAACAACACTACTGATTGACTAAATATGCCGGGAATCTGAACTTTCTTTATTCGCCCAACATGCTGGTATCTTCACAGGTTCTGCCATTTGCACCAAATGTTAGAAATAACGCTTGTCCAATACTAGCCGCCGTCCGGTACTACCCGACCGTCCTCTACATGACATCGTTTTCGAGATATAAAGTCGTAGCACTGTGAGGTAGTCGGATCGTGCATAAAGGGAAAACAGAAGAGAAATACCGATACGGAATGTGAGCCTGATAGATACCGCGTCAGACTCCACAGTTACAAAGAAAATCGTCTTGATTTATTTAAAACACAAAAACAAAAAGCTTACAGCAATTATATTCTTAATATCTTTGCACGTGAACACTGTAAATCGTCTGGTTCTTTTTCAAGAGAGAATCCTGAGAGAAGGATTTATTAGTTTTCTCTTTTGCTCTGGAGCGATGTTGTTCAGTCCGTTCCCGTAGAACAGGTCATTCCTTATAGAGTCCTAGATGAGGTGGAGAATTCCATTAAGTAAGATCTTGCACTATGAGCAATTCGGAGGGAGAATATATCTGTGTCCTTGAAATCATAGTTTTTATCATCTTTGGCCCTAGACAATTACTTCGAATGATTAGCTTTTCTTATCCCCACTTTCTAATTGGTCGTCACTCGTTACTAAGTGTAACGAGATCTGAACCCAGATAGCGGGATGAGATGAAACGCACATTTAATTCGTTCCCAACCGGTGTTAGTTGATATTAGGACTTTACATTGTCTAGTTTTCCTTTGTCTAATTTCTGAGAAAATGTTTTTTCAATCTTTCTCTATTAAATTTAGTATTTCCTTTTATAGACAAAAAAACTGTATTTTACAATATTAAACAATGCAGTGGTTTTTAGATTTTAATGTAGTTCCGAAGACTTTCCAGAACCCCACAGCACGAGTGCGCACAACAAAGCGATATCGCACAAATTGCGGCACTTTATCGTGTCAATTTCCATGGTCGCTAGCGAGTTTTATAGGCTTATAGAGTGAAGTTCGTTCTCGATATTTAATGAGACGAGTTTGATAAAACTTTGCTATTTTTCATTATTGTAATGAGTACCCAAAAATGTAATGAGGATCCGTTTAAATGCAAAAATAAAGGTCCATGACTTCGTTCTCGATATACATAGTAGACCTATTAAAGCAGGATTTACCCACGCAGGGTAGGTCGGTATGACCCGTTAAAGGCCGATGAAAGTTTGAGAAAGTCGCAAATATAAAAAATTATTTTAAAATTTTACACGTTTTTACTCTTAAATAAGTGAAATAAGATTTTTAATTATGGAAGAGGTTATGGCACATATATTATACAGTAAATAACATAATATTGAAGGAAATCAACGAACAAAATTTTTTAAAGGAATTACTACAAGAAAACAGTTGAAAACCATTGTATTTAAGTGACTCTGATGCGACTGAACGCGCTTAAAGAAATTTATGCCTAGGAATAAAACATAAAAACAACACAGCGGGTGCGTAACGAAAAATCGGCGCGAAACACGAACAAAAAACAAAATCAAACAATCATTAGCGATTCATTTGTTCTTGAATCGCCTCTTTGTATCGGGAAGTGCTGTATAGTACATCTGTTTGTGGTTGTCAGATACAAGGATCTCCTCTTCTATGCCTAACAGGTATAGAGATAGCAGGTATAAAGGTATAAAGATAGAAGCTATTTCTATCTTTCCCGCATCGCTTCAATTCTAGCGCGATGTCTAGTGTAACAATATACAGATTATCATATTGTTTGTATTCTAAACGGGTACAGGTTCGCACGTAGTTTTGCACACGTTCGATTAAATTCAACTAAAATAAAGTCAATGGAATATTTCATTGCATTAATTCCAATACTATTTCTTATTGAAGAGAATATTGATTCTTGTAACGTTCTCTACTTTTCAATAATTAAAATATTTTGTTAAATTATGGTAGGTTATATCTTGGCTGACGAAGGTTACGATGTATGGATGGGAAATCAGAGAGGTAACACTTACGCCCGAAAGCATATCAAATATTCGACCGAAGAAGACAAATTTTGGGATTTCAGGTCAGTAGAAAGACAACTTGCGAAGTTTTACACACGAATTTAAAACGTTTCATTGTAGTATTGACGAACATGCCAAGTATGATACACCGGATAGTATTGACTTTGTCCTGAACAAAACAGGTCAAAGTCAATTATATTATGTGGGATTTTCGCAAGGTAACCTGATACTCTATGCATTTCTCTCCGAGAATCCCGAGTACAACAAGGTAAGAAATGTGTCCACTTACGTCCACACAGCTTTTACAACTTACTTGATATTAAAATATTGAATTTTCCAGATCAAAGCAGTACTTTCTCTAGCTCCAACGGCATGGTTCGGTCATATTAAGACCCCTATTCGTCTATTAGCTCCTTTTACTAGTGAAGCTCAAGTGAGCATTATGACTAATAATGTTCCTGGAAAAATTGCGGAATCACTTTCTCATTATGTTGTTTTTATATTGCTTTAACCACTTAGCAAAGAAATAAACTAAGCAATTTATGCTGTTGGAAAAATTCACAATGAACATTTATTTCAACGAAACATTTACACAACAGCAAAATGCGAACTTCAAACACTCCAAAACTCCAGCTTTCTAAATTCTATTTAAAATCAAACAACTTCCAAATCGAATCTACCTGGCAAAATTGTTATAATTCGCAATAGATGCAAAATATCTTTTTATTAATAGTCAAATCTTTTGACTACTTTAATTATGACTTAAACAATCGAAATAACAATACCTTGTATATAAATTAAACAATAAATGAAATGAACCTCAGCAGAATAATTCAAAATCATTCTGTAAATACCTTTTTGCTTCTGGGATTCCTTTTATTTAGCAAACGTTTTTAACCTAGTCTAATAGGCTATTTTCAAGCTATAAATTTTTGAAACATTTTAACCGTTAAATATTGTTTAAAAACAGAATATAATAAAAGAATAACAATTTTTAAATATTTGAATATGAAATGAACCTCAGCAGAATAATTGAAAATCATTCTGTAAACACCTTTTTGCATCTGGGATTCCGTTTATTTAGCAAACGTTTTTATCCTAGTCTAATAGGCTATCCTCAGGCTATAATTTTTTGAAACATCTTAACCGTTAAATATTGTTTAAAAATAGAATATAATAAAAGAATAACAATTTTTAAATATTTGAATATAAAGCTAAAGTAACTAAAAATTAATATAAATAATAGAATAGTAGTAAAATGTAAAATAAATAATATATTGAATAAAAGTATACAAAAATATATAGTAGAAATAAGGTAATTATGGTCTTCCAACAAACTTATTAATTTACAATATATTTCCATGCCGTTGGTAAACTATCTGCATCACTTGCATTATCTTTCAACCTCCGTTTGAATATTTCAATTTTTTAACGTTTTATGCGCATGTAAACCTAAAACAAAAAACAGCAAATCTAGTGGAATCATGAGATTCACTTTTAACAGAGGTATAACTAACATCATGAAAGAAATCGCAGAATGTAAAGGGTCCAATATGTTAATAAAAAGTGCTTCAACTATGTATATATTTTTAAGAAACGATAAGGATAGATTAGAAAAAGAAAAAATGGCAGGTGTGTACAGAATACCGCATGATACCATGCAGTTGAGAATAGACAATGTTTACATCGATGTCACCACAAGAAACTTGAAAGTTAAACTCAAAAGAACATCAACATAACGTAAGAAAAACATGCAGTAACCCGGTACTCTCCACGATGACGCAGAGTGAAAGCTCGGTGATAAAATAAGAAGTAACAAATATCATTAAGATTGTATGTGTATATTCCCCTACATCAGCACAGAACGCTGAAAAACTTAAAATACACGCACTCAGTTTGAAAGATAATGCAAGAGATGTGGCATGAAAATATATTTACCAACGGCATGGAAATATATTGTAAAAAATAAGTTTGTCGGAAGACCATAATTATTCCATTTTTACTATATATTTTTGTATACTTTTGTATTATTTATTTTACATTAAACTGTTATTTTATTATTTATATTAATTTTCAATTATTTTTGCATTAGGCCTATATTCAAAACTTGTTATTTTTATTTTTTTTAATAAAATTCCAGTTTTAAACAATATTTAACGGTTAAGATGTTCCAAGAAATTATGGCCTGAAGATATTAGACCTGGATATGGCCTACATTAGATATGGCCTGAAGATATTGAAGATATGGCCTATTAGACTAGGTTAAAAACGTTTGCTAAATAAAAGCGAATCCCAGCAGCCAAAAAGCTGTTTATGGAATGATTATAAATTAAACACGTGATTTTTTGTTTTTATATTTTACATGTAGGAAAACATTCTTGAATCACATAAAATTAAAGTAAGGTTATGTACGGGATTAAACAATTTAAAAAATTTAATCAATACATTCTTACACCGCAAGGTTTAGACAATTTTACTTCTAGTATAATTTGCTTCTTGTTTCAAAGACTATATTAATTTTCTATTGGCTATTAATATGTTTTAAACCCAAACTTATCATAACGACTACAAATGAATTTAATGTGATGGTTTATTCATGTAATTTATTTATTGAATTTAATTTGTATTTAGGATGTATAAAGTCATTTCTGTTCAGTTGGGTACATTATATAGTATTAAATTAAAAAGTTAAGCGAAAATACAGTCACTTCAAAGTCATTTATGGTCGTTATAATAAGCTTGAATTTAAGGCATATTAATAACCAATAGAAAATTAATGTTAGTTTTTTTTTTACAGTCATTGACTTCACTCATGAAAATAAAATTCTTTATCGAAAGCTTTCCATTTTCACCGAACAGTAGTCAAGACACTCGATTTCCATATAGAACTTTATTCCGGACCAGTTTCTTAAATTTTCATCACGTTTTCTAACAGATTCACAAGTGTACTGTTTGCTGGACAATGTATTGTGTCGGTACAGTGTTGGCGAGAAAATTTTAATAGTTGCAACCACATAAAAAGATACTTTGTCATCTTGGAGTATGACATCATCGCCATCGAACATGTTTTCAATGGATGGAATAAAAAAGTTCATCAAAACGTCAACGTATGCCTGGGCATTACATTGCCGTTTTGATATAGCGATGGTCAGGTTAGCTCGCCCTGTCCTTTAGCTGATACGCAAATGAACATAAGTAAAATAGGAAATTTGTCGATTTCTTTGGCAGTCACCTTATAAGCTTCGTTAGAACGGCGTGAGACTAAACTTTCAGCATCACCTCGATACCGATGCAAATTCGTCAGTTATCACTAAATATCTCTTTCATTCAGTACTACAGTTCACGATTATTTTTCTTTAGCCATTGTAACCTTGTTTTCGCATGTTTTGTGTATGAAGTGCTGTCGTTTTGCTTTTGTTTATGAATGTACCATTTCTTTGAAATTAATTTTTACTTTTCTCTCATAAGCTCTAAACACTTATTTCTTTTCACTTGTTATTCATCCGTTTTGTTGTACATTTCTTATTTTTAAGAGACATTGCTGTTAGTTTTATATCCTGACACGTTGATATTTTTCGTAGTTGACCAGTTTCCTTTTCTAAGATTCTCAATTTCTTTATACTTGCAGACCACTTTTGATACAGTTGACTGTGAACAGTTTGCTTCTTTTGCAATAGTCGTTGTTAAATTTCCTTCCTTAAAGAACTGTACAATTCTTTCTATTATTTCGATGGATAATTCCGTTGTCGGTGCTATGATTTTGTTACAATACCAGAAAAGTAGGGTATTTGAGTGGTTTACATGCATTTACTTTATATTCGGACTTACATATTGAACAAAATAGGAAGCAACATTTTAAATACGATAAATATGTAACTTTTCTCTTTTATAATTTCAAAATTTTTCCTGTATGCGATGTTATACAATTGTATATAAATTAAATATATAACATAGAAAAACGCATGGCCATTAATACAAAGTTATTCTGTATCAATTGCTTGTTTTATTTCTTTGCTGCATGCTTAAAACACTATAAAGAGGATATGGTGATGAAGAAATTCCGTAATTTTTGCCAGAAGTTGAATAAAATTAAAGATTTTAACTTAAGATTGGTTTAGTTTTTATTTTCCGTTCTGGGACACAAGGAATTTTTACCAAACGATTTTATTACGGAATTATTTGCTCAAACTGCCTGTAATGTTGATGTTGTAAGATCGATATGCTCCAATATCTATTTCCTAATAAGCGGATATGACTTTTCTCAATTAAATGAGGTAAGGTAAGATAGATTGTAGCGAATGTTTGAAATTATCTTATGTCTAATAAATTAGATTATTTCAGTCTCGCCTGGATGTCTACTTTTCTCATTTTCCTGCGGGAACATCTACTAAAAACATAATTCATTACGGACAGGTAGGTTAAGTTGTTGAATATTTCGAGGAAATTAAAATATGAACAATTGAATAATTTAAGCTTATCGTAGCTGATAAATTCGGAAAAATTTCGAATGTTCGATTATGGGCTATTTGGAAATTTAAGGAAATACAAACAAGTAAGGAGAAAGGTTTATGTTCGATATTTAGATCTTTACTTTCGTTTATATGAATGTGTTTACCTATTAGTTTCAGCCCCCAAACTATGACTGTAACAAAATTAAAACACCGATCGCAATTTTTTGGAGTTTGAACGACCTTGTGGCAGATCCTAAAGATGTGGATATACTTCGAAATTGCCTCCCGAATTTGATAGCCGATTATCAAGTACCTCTAAAAGAATGGGGCCATCTAGATTTCGTGTTTGCGAAAGAAACAAAAAAATATGTTTATGACGAATTACTGCGAATATTGAAAAGTATTTAGAAATTTCTTCTGTATATAAATAATGCACTTGTCAGTTTTGCTCTAATTCAATGCATGTTTAACCAGTACTAAATATTTTGTGTTGGTATAAAATATTAACATTATATAATTTGGATATAAGTAAAATTTTACGGTTCCGGTTTCGGTAAAATTCCGGTAACTTTTACCTGCGTGTTATAGATCACAATGACTGAGTGTTTAGTGTATTGGACTTTCCCGTAATTAATAAAATAAAAATATATAATAAATTAGTATGTTTTATTGTTACAGTAGAACCTCCATTATCCGGACCTCCATTATCCGGATTTTCGATTATCCGGATTGTTCAAAATAAACAAAAATTTTACGAATTTGCTGATTTGCACTTGGCGAATTACGACACTGTTTATGTTCATGATGGAATGCATAACTTTTTTTGTTTCAACAACGTCTCACCCAGCACAGTGGTCGTAAACTCTTAAATATATTTTACGTAGTAATAAAAATATAACTTGACATACGTATTTATAAATAATTTATATTCAAATTACATCATTTCTATGACCAAGGGCGGCGTAAGGCATGGACGACGTGGGCCACCGCCTATGCCTCGCGGTCCGAAGGGCCTCGCGCCTCGAAGGTTTATGCATTACTTAAAAGCCGCGAACGCGACGAAAAAATTTTACTCGTCATAAAACGATAAATAGTTTGTCAAATTTTTATTCATAAAAATGCAGTTTCAACTGCTTTTTATTTTATAAAATCCGTCTTCTTGCGCCACCAGAGGGCCTTTTAAACAATAGGTAGTCTGTTAGCGTTGGTCAGTAGTAGTCCAAATTCAATACGAACGTTTGTTTCTTGAAAATTTGATCACGATTTAAATACAGTATTTACTTTTAATATTACCAATATGTCATCGAAAAGAAAACGTGTTGTATTAGCATTAAAAGACAAATTAAAGTATCTATTTCGATTATCCGGATTTTTCCTTATCCGGACTACCTTCATCCCCAATTAGTCCGGATAATCGAGGTTCTACTGTATTCATAACTGTTACGATATCATTTAGTTTTGATAGGAAAGTCCGAATAATTGCGAAGCAGGCTATATTAATATTAACTTCGGATTATCTGTTAATGTCGTGCTGTAAGCGTGGCATTTTGACATTTTGAAAAAACAATTGGTTGGCAATTAACTTAAAATCGACTAAAATTTAGTCTTCCCGGTAATCACCATCAATATCAATTACACATCACTACGTTTCATGCATACTTTCAATCTCGTTTAGAATGACTGAGGTTTATCTTTAAAGAAATTGTTGTCATTTAACCGTACTGTATTTTGTCAATATGGCTCTGCAAGGTGTAAAATTATCATAATTATATTTTTAATATTTTAGGAGTATTATATTTTAATAGATTAAAAATATAATTATCCACTCACATCAAACGACTCCTAGAAATTTATCTCCGCTCCACATAAATCTATTGACATCTGGGAATCGATGCAGAGCAGATTGGTATCCTCTGCTGTATGTTATGATTTTATAAATCTAATTTTATAATAAAAACTGTATTATACTAAACTTTATGCTAAAAGACAATTCCTTTGAATCTATTGTGCCTGTAGATTTGCCATGTGACAATGTTATGTGCCGGCAATAACATCATTTACAGGTGTTCGCTACAACGAACTTTCACTTTATTTCTATTCATATTTCGGCAGAATAACGGCATTTTACCGCATTTAATTTCGATTATTATCGCTTAATTTATAGTTTAAAAATTAAGAAAAATTCATGTATGGTCGGTAAAATCGTTTCTTTACTAATCCTTTGGAATATAATTTTAAAAAAATTCATTTAATTATATGTTTATATTAAATATATTCAAAACGACGTCAGGTAAAATAAAATTGACGGATATGCACGAAATGCAGTAGTTTCGTCCTGCGTAAATATCGAATATAAACATTTTTAAATTAAATAGTAATTATAATAATAATAAGCTTCGATTATCAAAATTTAACGAAGAAACTGTTGTTACATAGCACGCCTATTTTTATAACGTGAACAAGCTCGAATTTTGTACACAAACTTAATTTTTATTGATTTACTACTAATATGTAAAATAGTATAGAACAAAATTATAAGACATTTTTAAATATGGAAAAGAGACAAAAAATTTTCAAAGACCAAAGTTCACTTAGGCATAGTCGATGTGTTATAGGCATTCCGTGTGTTACACCCGGCGGCAGCTGATCAGAAGCTGCCACCAGAGAAAGATGAAACGTCCAGCGTAGCGTCGAAGTTGGTAAGAGAAGAATCGGATGTTTTTGAAGAAAAAGAACAACGGGTATTAGAGAAGATCCCTGTGTTTCCGTCAGCCTTACATCGTCGTGAACAATATTTACATTTTTGTAATTTAGTTACTTGTTTAGTAATATTGGCATACTCGTAATATATATGTATCTATCAAAAAAGATGAGAATTGATACGCAATATTTTTTATTTGCAGGTTAAGAACAATTTTTCGAGATATAGGCTATTTAACAATCTTCTATCTTCTATACTGTATAAATATATATGTAAATGTTCGTTTGTTCAAAATCTAAAATCTCCAAAAGTTCTGAACCGATTGCTTTGAAATTTTGACACAACGTTGCATTTGAATATTGTACGCGTGTTTTTTATATTATATGAATGTCAAAATTACCCCGCGGGGGAAAGAGACAAAATTAAGGCTTACTGTAAAGAACTCGGCTTCTATCATACTATTTTAGAAATGGCTTTTGCGTTTTTGATTGCATTTTAATAGGGTACGTCAAGAGAATGTACACCAAGAAAAATTTTTCGAAATTCCCTCCCATGGGGAATGTTATACGTTTATAATAGATACATTTTGTGCCACAGCAACGCGTGGCCGAGTTCAGCTAGTATAACAATAATAAGATTGTGCTAGAGAAGTTATTTTATTCGACTTTACGTCTGTCCGCCACAAATATTGAAGTCGTAATATCACTAGAAAAGCGTTTAAAGCACATAAAATCATATTAAAATATATACATTTACAAGTATGTACTATATTTACAGTACACGCATTCGTAAATGTAGATTACTTTTTTCTGTACTATATTAAAAACTAAAATTTATTTGTTTGTAAGCTTAAAATAGATCCTTATTAACCATATATTATTAAAAATGCATTAATAAATAAAATACAGAACCGGGAATGGTAATTTATGGTTTAGCCAAGTGACAAGTAGATTCGGAGACAAGTAAATTCGACTTACGTCGCCTCTCCTGGAAGCAATTACCGACGTAAGGCGAAGTATATCTGTAGTTAAAAATTGCATACAAATTTGTTAAAAGTATTAATTTTGCGGACACCCCTCTTATAATTTATAATTCTTAAAATGAAGAAAATTAAAATAAATCAATAAAGATAATTTTCTGACTCAGTAAGTTTACACGACTTTATCAAACACGTGGCTTAAAGAGAAATTAACAGATGTGCACAGAAAACAAGTGTTGTAATATCAAAATTGGTATCTGTTTACTAACAAATTAGATGAAAATACGTAGCTTAATAATAGCTTAATCAAATTATCAGGAATATTCTGATTTATGTTTTTTGAATTTAATTAAATTCTCATTTTGAAACGTTGTTAATTTCAATTTAAACTCTAATTCTATAAACGTTAATATTTCAAGAAAACCAACGTTTAAAAGAAAAGTATGCACTAACATATTCCTGGGCGGTTTTATACAATTATTACATATTTGATTTTTGATCAGATTTTAATATTTTCTGCCTGGAAACTACGAATAATGTAATCTTTGATCACGTTTTAACGTTTTTTTTTCGGTAGAAATATCGGATAAGATGAACTGGAAGACCGTAATACGAGAATTTTATTTTTTACTTACAAAATAAATTAAACTACAAATTTACTTAAATTTCAAATATTACTCTAAAAGAATTAACTACGGAGCTTTAATTAACCGCTTGCCCAACTCTTTGCTTACTTAATATGCTTCATTTATTGTTTCTAATATAGACTACTCATAAACATTTTTATAACAAATGTGTAACTTTATCTGTCTGATTCTGAATGAGGATTTCGTAAGGTAAGCTAAGTGTTTCGAATTATATCTACAAACTCAAATTAATTGGGAAAAAACACAAAATTTTTATTCACATGACATTCAAAAGTTTAGATTTTCTTCGTCAAAGACAAACATAAAACAATCTTCGCATTTGAGTACAAAATACTCCAATCGGTTTTTGTTTTCCAACAGGTCGAATGTCACGGCTTATTAAAAGTCCGATAGAAAAACGTTCCAATTTCACAGTGACATCGTTTCCTTCACTCGTTAGTCCAGAGAGGGCGATGTTTTAAATTTAGATTATTTGAAACAAAAAGTTTGTGGTGATTTATACCTTGTAAGGAAAAACCCATCCCCTTAGCTTTACTGAACACTCTTCCACTCGCTTCGATCCCTCGTAGGCTCCTCACTTCGCTCACTTGTTCCAAGCTTTCGTGAGGACTTAGCTATTTCAAGTGCCGCCATTTATATTTGTTTTTATGTGACGGAAAAAAGCGTCACGACGATTTTAAGTTAAATATTCGCCTCGCTTTTTTTTGGATTTGGATTCGCGATTTGGAAATTATGCGCAAAGATGTGCATGAAACATTTAGTACTTCTATTATAGTTTCTGTGTTTTTACTACTGCGTAACGTTATGAATTGTGTTTGGATGAAGGGTTGCAGAATTAAGTAAAGTTACGCAGAAATAACATTTCGTAATTAGATATACTATACATACACATTGGATATAAATGTAAAATGGATCAAATCCGATAAACAAGCAGGATTCAAGCTTTATTATGTGTATATTAAGTATACCTTACGTATTGTTATTTTTGGCTTACTGGCTTCCAAAGGTCAGGTACAGTACTTGTTAATGTAGCGTAAATTTTTTTTATCATATAGCAAATACACAGGTAATCTATAGAAATAATATAAGAAATTTGTTGTTGAACAAGTGATGTCGGCTTCGATCATCTACGAGTATGTGGGATCTAAAGCAATAATTATATTTCTGAAAAAATATTTCATAGGATAGCATATGGTCAAGTCCCACGAAAGAGGTGAGCTGGGGTTTTTCTCCAGAAAACTTAAACGCCATCCGTATGGTCCTCCTACTATAAATTAATAAACAAAAATTTCTCC